AGTATCAGGGTGCGACACCCCAGACATGACAACTAAGGTGTGACCCCCCCAAGCATGACACCCAAGGTGCGATGCCCCTAGGCATAGAAACTAAGGTAAGACACCCCTAGATGCGATACCCCATGTGCGACGCTCCCAAGCGGAGCACCCAAGGTGCAACCCCCTCAAGCGCGACACCCATGTTCGATGCTCCAGGGGCACAACACTGCAACAAGGTGAGATACATCTCCATCACATTGGAAGTGACAACATGGCCCCTTTACCAAGGGTGGACAAAAGTGGACTCGCAGAAATATGAGGGCAACCTCGGCGAGACTCACCTCCCCCACTGCGGGAGTAGTATCCTCAATCTATTGGACATTGTTGCTCGACTAGCCCATTGGACTAAGAAGAGGTGTCCCCACCTAAGGACAGGGGAGTATAACCTTCCTCAAGGGAGAACTGAGCAATGGAGGCAAACGAGCACGATTGTCAACCTCAGCTTGGGGCAAGGTCTCGAAGGTTTAGTATACTCGAGTAGGCTCCAAGTGTATGACTCACTGCCCACTAGGATGTGCTTGAATAGGATCCGGAGGTATTTCTAAGGAAACTTGGGTTATTGGTTCGGATCAACATATGAGATAATGAGACATGTGGATTAGTGGCTGAAGGACCGAAATTGTATGGGTTTTCTCTATCGAGCACCTCGACAAAGGTCTTGAGGAAGGGTCCAGAGAGCGAAATAAGGACCCCGGGTAGGAGTGCACTAGGGGCATCACGGATATGGACCTCTCGAGGTCAAGGTCCTGTGGTGACCAGTCGTGGTCATGGATCTTGGGTGGCTGCTCTCACCTTGGCTGTCGCACCTTACTCGAAGCCACGTCCAGGTCACATTTGGGGCAACATCACATCTATCTAGTTAATGTTAGGACATGTGGGTCATGATTAACGACCACTGGTATCGTCACAATTGGGGAAGTTGTGGGTTCATGTGAGTGGTAGAGGTCGCGACGGGTAGTCCACCCTACCCTAGCACTATGCTATAAATACCCATATTACTTGCCCATGGTGGATGGTGATTTTTTTGGCTAGTGAGAGTATTTTCACACATCCTCTGCCTAATCTGTTCATCCCTTTGTTAATAGGCTACTCGATTTCCTTCCATCTCATCTGTTTATCCTACTTATCCCCTTCGATTATCATTGGCATACACACGTGTGATAGCCTCTTTTAACTCCCCACCTGCATTCTTTTGGTGACTCTACTCGGAAGGTTTGCCCTCACTAGCCTATGTCTGCTATAACTCAGAGTGGAAGGGTATTGTCTAATACAAAAATTAGAAACAACAATGACAAGGAAGACTAGCAGCAAAAAAACCCGGCCCAATGCGAGGATAGCCATGGGTCCTCTAAAAGTCGAAAGGCTCCGGAGGTGCCAGGGCCCTCCATAATGGCACAGGCTCTACATGATATGCAAACTCTATAACAATAGATGACTGCGGCAGTGTAGATGATGCAAGCTCAAATGTATTTCTGACCACCTGGATTGCAAAACCCATTGATGTTCTTGCCANGCGGCAGTGTAGATGATGCAAGCTCAAATGTATTTCTGACCACCTGGATTGCAAAACCCATTGATGTTCTTGCCACTGCTCTTGTAGTACCCGATACCACCACCTTTAACTTTGCCTACATACTCTCCAATGACACTATCAGGTGATAATGGTGTATCACAGAAGTCAAGCCCTTTTGGTTTAACAGTGCAAATCCTGACAGTAAACCCCTACCACTTTCGCTACAAATTGATACAACTAACCCCCTAGTTCCCTCACAGCAAACTACCACAGGCGGTCCTCTAGCACTTTTGCAGCAAACTACTGCAATTGGCTTTTTAACTCTCCTATAGTAGGCAGCTATATCAGGCCCTCAAAATGTCACAATCCCTGAGGTACCCAATGTAGCTAGACTTGCAACCATGACTAAGGCATATCTCCTAAACTTTCCAACGACTCTCAGATGTGGCTACGCTATGATTGGCTACAACTATGGCCTCATAGCTTCCCAAATGACCCTTTTTACCATTTCTATAATGGCACTGACAACTACCCAAGTGTAGGGTCAAAATTTTTTTTCCACTATTCCCATAACCATGCCTCAGCATTTCCAGCTCCCGTCGCCACCACCTCATTTCCATCTGCAACCACTTAGACACCATACTCGGCTAGCACAGAACAGCTAGTGCCCAGTGCTAGGTTTGTCGTGCTGGACCAAGTCCAGGCACTACTAGATAGATAGAAGGAGCCTATGCCAACAACCATGGACATAAGGTCCAAGTTTACCCTCGCTGTGCAACAAGCTATGTATCCTATGGGGTACTCGTTGCTGAATTTTGGTGGAAATAATGGCAACCCTCATGAGCACATTACTCGTTATCTTGATAGCCTTGGCCACTATGTGCTCAACGATCTTCTTAGGATGAAGGAATTTTCCAAGTCCCTCAATGATAGGGCCTTCACCTGGTATGCTAACCTCTTGAAAGAATCAGTTAGGGACTGAGACAATTTGGTTGCACAATTCTACACAAAGTTCTTCCATGTTGAACAATGTACGACATTACTTTCCCCGACAAAGACCATTCAGGATGACAGAGAAGCCCTGATGACATACATTGACAAGTTTCACAACAAAACCATCGAGTGCCAAGAAAATGTCACCGAAGAGGCCCTTATTTAAATCTGCATCGACGGAATACACAACAAATGCAAGGCATACTTGGTGAATAGTAAATTCAAAACCTTAACTAGGCTATGTGAGTCTGCTCAAAGGTGGTTCAGCCCTTCTTCAAGATAGTCGGTTGGAAGAACAAGATGGAAGGAGGAACTGTTATAATTGTCGAGGAGGTCCCGAAGGGGGGGCAACGTCCAAAGAAGCAAGGAAGAGCTCCAAGCCTAAGGACCCACCTCCATATCCTTGTGGCATGAAGTAAGTCCGACAAATTATCACGGAATGGATCAAGAATGATGATGTCGAGCTACCGCCAATGGAAAGGGATCCAACTAGAGAAAAGAAAAATAGCCTGACCTTTTGTGACTTTCGTCGCCACACCAAGCACAACCTCAAGGACTGTTGGACCGTGCACCAAATGTTTTAGAAGTGCTTAAAGAGTGGAGAATTGGTATTAACGGGCGCCGGGGGCAATATCTGCGAAAAAGGTAAGGAGGTGCACATGGTATCATTTTATGACGAAATTAAGGATATAGCGAAAGGCAACTTCAAAGAGTGGCCCAAAATTCAATTAAGTCGAGAGACCTTGGAAGTTTGCCATGAGGTGAGTACGCGGATCATGAAGGAAACAATCAAGTTCAAGAATTTGTTTAATCATTTGGGACTTAATGGTACCAGATTGGCAGTTACCAAGGCCATCATGGACTTATGTGCTGAGGGGCCCTCAGACCCCGAGAAGTGCATGGCCGTGGAAGGCTCAATGTCTCGTAGTATCAAGCAAAGGTCTAATGCCATCACCTTCAAGGAGGGGGATCACCAATTAGCCTAGAAGCACAATTGCCTTATGACACTACCAAGATCAACAAGGTATAGTTGAAAAGGACTTTTCTAGACAATGGGGCCTTAGTGAATGTCAGGCCTCTGTCCACATACGAGCAACTTGAACTCCGCGAGTCAAGTTTCATTTAAAAAATGACATCATCACTAGGTTCACCAGCGACAAGAGAAGGACCCTCGGTTATGTTACCGTCTCCTTGTTTATGGGAAAGGTGAGGGTACCCTCGACCTTCCACGTGATCAATGCTCCTACGACCTATCATGTGCTCCTTGGGCACACTTGGATGAATGATCTAAGGGTGGTCCTTTCTACATACCACCAATGCATGAAGATGATTTGGAATGTAAAGGAAGTGATGATACCCGTGACCGAGAACCCTTTTAGCAACAATAAGGCCCACTTGGCAAAGGAAGCACTATAGGATGATGTAGTTGAAGATGGCAAGGCCGCAAGTTTGCTACAGTGGCCCTTGTCATTCCCTATTCCTTCCTTGGAAGAAGTCCAACCAGAAGTCTATGTTAGTGTGAAAGAAAGGCTCAGAGAACAAACCCAAGGAAAAAGGCAAGTTGAAGAGTCCTCGCACTCCAAAAAGATGTATTCGTAGTGTCCTACCTAACGGGTGAGTCACTTACCAGTTATGATGGTGTGGGGGGACCATCTGCGAGACTAGGAGGGTGAATCCCCGAGACGAGGTGCATGAAGCAGAGACCATCATCACCGCGATGCCCACAAATGCGGTCCCTATACTAGAATGCATAGAGGATCACCCTAAAACGTAGGAGCATGTGCTCAAGGAAATAAACCTCACTCCACCTAGGGAATCACTACAGCTAGTCTTCATCTGCAAAGAACAATCCCTAGAAAAGAGGCAGACATTTTTGGCACTGTTGATAGAATATGTCAATGTTTTTGCATGAAAATATGAGGAGACGCCTGAATTGAACCCAAGCTTGGTCTATCACAAGCTGAACATCCGGCCCTTATATAAGCTATCAAACAACACTCACGAAACAATGCCCTCGAGGTGATGATAAAAATCAAGGAAGAGCTGAAAAAGCTATTGCAGGTTACCTTCACCAAGCCTATCCAGCACCATGTGTGATTGTCGAACATAGTCTGCATCAAGAAAAAGAATGGGGTCATCAGGATATGTGTAAATTTTAGGGACTTGAACAATACATGCCCGAAAGATGAGTTCCTAATGCCAAATGTCGACACCCTCATCAACGCTACCTCGGGGCATGAGATGACGTCTTTCATGGATGGGTTTGTGGGGTACAATCAAATCAAAACAGCCGAGGAGGATGCAAAAAAGAATGCTTTTAGGACCCCCTTCAATAACTTCTACTATACAGTAATGCCTTTTGGGCTAAAAAATACAGGTGCGACCTATCAACGTGTTGTAGTAATGATTTTTCATGATATGATGCATGACATTTTCGAAGACTATGTTGATGACCTTGTTGTAAAATCGCGGAAGGAGGAGGACCATGTGGTAGACTTGCAAAGAGTATTTGAAAGGTGCCAAAAATATAACCTATGCATGACCCCCTAAAATGTGCCTTTGGGGTAATAGTAGGGAAATTTCCTGGCTTCTTGGTACATCGGCATGACATAGATCCAAATACGGGAAAGATAAAGACTATCCAGAACATACCCGAGCCTAGAAGCTAGAAGCAGTTGACGAGTTTCCTTGGGAAGGTGTCCTACCTACGATGATTCATTCTAGCCCTTTTCCGAGGTTACCATGCCATTCAAACCTTTACTTAAGGAAAAGGCATCGTTTAGTTGGAATGTAGAGTAAAAGCAAGCTCTCGACACAATCAAGAGAGCTCTCGGCTCCACCCAAACCCTAGTTACACCATGGGAAGGCCAACCCTTGTTACTATACCTTATCTCCTCTAGAAAGGCTATTAGAGGATTAATAGTACAAGAGGTGGAGGGTCTGGAAAGACCCATAT